CTTCATGCTGAAACTCAAGTCCTTTTCTAAATAAAGCTATATTTGGCAAGTTTCCCCAATACCAACATATACCAACTGCCTGTATCAGTATAATCGAATCTCTCTCCTTAATTCCCTTTCTAAAAGTGGCTTGTCTCCCACACTAGAGTGACCACAATTCCACTTCACAGGCCTCCTCTACTATACATGGGCCTTTGTACAATTTCTACAGATTATTTTTTTTTATTGAAAAATTATTCCTTTCCTCAGAGACCTTGTCTTAGGTGGCCACTAACACACACAAAACCTAAAAGGCTGGGGGGGAGAGGGGTGTTCAAAAGCAAATAAGAAGTGAGTAATGGGAATGGTCCTTTGTGAAGACAGACTGCAGACAGGGGGTTGGAAAGGCAGATAAAATATTCATCTAATGCAGTCTTCTCTACAGCTATTCTTATGTTAGAATAGTTGGTCTTACCCTATTTCCGTTTTGTCCTCATTTTTATACCCCAGAAATTGGGGGTATGCTTATTTCACAAAGAATAATATTTTGTCACATCAACTTAAACAGTTAAGAGATATTTTATCATGAGCCAAATCTTAGTGCTGGCCATTTAAAGAGAAATCAATGCTTAATTGCTGCTTAAAATTATGCTTCTATTACTGTAATCATTGCATTACACTGGGGCCCAAAGTGAATATGAGACCTCACTTTAAGACTTGTCATAGGAAGTAACATTCTCTCCTTTCTAATCCAGCTTGATGGACCAGCTTCTTCTATCACCTGCCACGGCATTATGGCTAGAAGTTGAAAGCTTTTAAAGAATTCTTATTTCCATAAATTAATTGTCCAATTCTTCAACTTACAACAATAAAGTTAATATGACGTGTGCATGTGCATGCACACACAGGCATGCAACACTAAGGAATTTACTTTGTTCATTATGTTTGAAAATAGAATGAATTTAATAGGAAGATTTTTTTTACTAGTCACTCATAAGTAGAACTCAGGTCTTTGTGCAGGAGATCACACTACTTATGCATAGTGCAGAAAAGTTCACAATACTTTTCAGACCACACAGAGAATTATTTACCTTTAAAAGTTTGTACGGAATGCATGCAGACAGGTATTGGATTTCCATTAAACCTTAATAACCTACATTGATACATCTGCTGGATTAAGAGTCTAAAATAAACTAGCAAGGGTCAGCTTGGATCAAATTACTTGTGAGCACTTCACAATTAAAGGGAAAAATAACTCTGTGTTACGTGTCATTATTTTTACATTGATCTGTCTTCATGGTAATGATGCTCTACAAATCAATTGTATGAGAAGGAAAACAACTTTAGAAAAATGGTCCTAAACTAATAAGGCTGTTTAATGTTTCTAAACTCAGCAATACTTTTATTTTATATTATATCTACTCATCTTAAACCTCATAAAGTCAGTCTGAGAATTAAAAAAAATTAAATAAAAAAACTAGATGCAGAACAGAAGAGAAGTAGTATACTATTCTATTTATACATTAATGTTGAATGAAAGTCATTCCCAGCTAGTCTACAGCACAAGGTTCATTTCACCAGCAAGGAATAAAACATCTGAAATAAATTAAGTGTTTTGATCGTGTGTTAAAGTCTGATTTTAATTTTCCTTAACAAATATGCAAATAATTCACAAAAAAATAAAAAGCACACAATTATATGTGTGCAGCAGAATAATAAGATGACTATGTAACACATGAACAGGTGCATATTGCACATTGCTGCATATGATTTAAATTTCACTTTTGGATGCCATGCCTTAGGAATGACTAACCATATGCCAAGCTCGATAATTATACAAATACAAATTCAACATATTTTCTTTAAGCTATTTTGAAATTTACAGTAGCTTCAAAACCAAAGTATATCCTGAATTTAGATTTAAAGGACATATTTAAAAAAAAGGTTTTGTTGTAGCAAATAAAAAGCTAAAGGCTGTTATTATTTTGTTAGCAGAGAGAAAGCTATTCAGACACAGAAAAGGGAAAGGGCTTTATAAAGACTATGTCCTGCTTCATTTCTGAAATTCTTTTTCTTATCAACCAAACGTGTTACAATGCATATTTTCTGACTTTCTTTCTCTGGACACTTAATAAACCTTCTTACCCAGGGGCGGGCAATTATTTTGGGCGGAGGGCCACTTACTGAGTTTTGGGAAGCCACAGAGGGCCGCATGACAGGCAGCCAAGGGCAGATAAATATTAATTTTCTAAACTTTTTAGGGGCCCCACGGGCCAAATAGAATGGCCTGGTGGGCCGCATCCGGCCACCGGCCTGCATTTTGCACCACCCCTGTTCTTACCCAACCTAAAGTAATTACTTCTTCTAAGAATGCACAGGTAAAACATTAAGCATGAAAGGCTACTCTATAAATACTTGAAATGCTATATCTTGAAAGATATATTATAAGAGGATTCTTAGGATTCTTAGAATTATGAGTGATACATGCCATTTAGTTTAAATGGTATAGACATAAGCTAAAGTGGCATAATGTTAACATGCAACCCATATTTATGACACAGATTGTAATGAAAGAAAACATCATAAAAACTTGTCCAAGGTCTAATCTAGATCGTTGCCCTACCTTGGGGGGTATCCACAATTCTACCCAACTTGGTGTACACAGGCACAGACTTTGGTCACACCGTGCATCCTAAAATAATAACTCATCACAATCAATATGTAAACAAACCATGCCCTCCACAAAATTCTGAGGATAAACTAGGGGAACTTACACACATGCAGGGAGCCTGTTCTCATGCACTGGAAATCCAGTGCATTGGAGCAGACTTGATTAATCGAGTCTGCTGGAGCACATAAATTGCTGCACTCTGGCAGTCTCATGCATCGTATATCAGCAGTGCAGTATGCCTCCACGCTGAGAAAATGGCAGCAGTGCGCTTTTAACTAAAATATGTTCAATGTGCTTTAGTTCAAAGTGCACCTCCGCCATTTGCTCAATGCAGAGGCACACTGTACTGCTGATATAAGTGACGTGTGGGTGCTTTTAATTAGCATGGCTCACTAATTAAAACCACCAGGCACTGCATTGTGAGCACGTGTAAAAATGCCATAAGTGGGCTTCCCAAGGGAACAGTGTGGTCTTCAAGATCATCACAAATGGGGTTGTTTACGAAGAAGAGGCAAGGAAGTTACTAAACATGAAACAGTTTTAAGGCAGAAAGGAAAAGAAAGAAAATTGGATTTCTTTTAAATGCACAATATAGGGAACATGTAAACTAGATCATTCAATCTCATGGAAAAGCAGTTCATAATTAAATTAAGAAATGTATGGTAAATGCCCGTAAATAAGGTTCGACATTACTCCTACTATCTGTCAGAGTATCCTCTGACCTTAGGAGTAAACTTGTTCAGCTTCCATCCCCTCTCTGTTAAATATGGAATGTTTTATAGACTTGACTACCTTTTAATTTATATTTTTATTTGAATCACTTGTCAATTTTTCCGCTCTGAAACAGATTCAGTCAGAACTATCTACAATGTAGATGCCAAATGTACTTTTTTATTAAATGATTTTCTCTATTTTTCTTCTCATATTCTACTTATTGTGCTATCCTTTTTTCATTTAATTTAAACTTTTGTGAATCTGTGAATCTCACATTCTGTTTCCTTGCTGCACTTTGCTGGACTATTTCCATTCTCAAATACTATACTATACAACTAATGCATAGGAACTGGGTTACCTCCCTTTGACCATCTTTTCTATCTTCTATTCATATTTTCTGCTGTTATTTTAAAAGTCTCTTGCTGTCCTCCATGTTTTATTAAGATACGACCTATTTTATTTAGCTAACTTTCATCTCTTCCTTTAAAACTGGGTCCTGACCTTGCAACCTCACACAAGTTTGGGTTTGCAGATTCAGATTCTACTTTCCACAGATTTTAGCAACAAAAAACTAGACTGGTAACAACATGTGAAGACAAAAAAGAGTTCAAACACAGTCAATGCAAATTTATTTAAAAACTCTAATGGTTATTTGCAGAATCCTCTCTCAGCATCACCTCTCTCTAGCCACATATGCATACCATATCCATTTGTACCTTCACACAAACAAAAACATCCACTATTGTTAATAGAAGTTAATGGAATTAAGCTAGATACCATCTTCCATGGATAACTTTAGTGGAGATTAGACTGAATTTATTAATAAACTGGAATATTATGTATTATTATGGCTTTAATTCCACAATGATATCTATAATAAGACTCCATGGATCTAGATGATTAAAAAGATTCCAGCCTCAAAAAGTGATATTCACTGGAACCCGAAGAGGCATATTCAAATTATATCGGTGCTGACAATACTTAGAAAGTATATAATAGTACTTTAAGTGTTAGAAGGAATGTTTTAAAAAATCTCTTTAAATTCTCCTCTATCATTGTAACTAAATAACACAGAATTACACAAGCACAAATGTATAAGCTGAATAAGTAGAAAATAAAGTATTTTAAAATCTATTACTAATAATCATTCTCCAATGAAGGTCACGCACCTTAGTATTTACACAAGCCTACTGGCTATTCTCTGTACTAAGAACTCTAACATATTCTCTGTACGAAGACCTCTAGCACACACAAAATACTTTAATTTACAAAAGCAGTACAGACTACAACAAAAGTACACCTACATGCATCTGTCATTTATTTTTTTAAATTCCAGGAAAACTCAACATAAACACATCTGAGGAACTGAGTTAATTTCTACAGAATTTACTGCATTAACTTACCAACCTTCTTGGGTATGCAGGTGTGCACCATCTTTGTATAATATACATTTAATTTTCAAAATGATCACTCAAACATTTCGCTCATGAGGAGATAATCAGCAGTAATAGTACTTCATTAACAACATTATACCATGCTATTTAAGATATGAAAAGAGAAAAATCTACTTCAATTTTGGAAAAAGCAATAAAATTGTAAGTGATACATATACTATATGTTGTGTTGTTTTACTTACCAGTTGTTTCCACAATGCCCTCTAGGATAACGACAATCTCAAACTGTTCAGTTTGCATGCTTCGCTGAGAAAGGTCATAGAAGGGGCTTTTGGCATCGATCACGTGGCAGATTGTAAGTGGGGAAACAAGAAAAAGTTGATCTGCCCCTGTGCTAAAACCTACGTCCAGTTCAAGTTGATCAAGGGGAAGGAACTCGCCCTCAGGTGTCTGCCGAGACTAGAAAAGCAGTCAGGGAAAAAAAAGAAAAGAAAAAGAAGAAATCACCACTAGTACAGCGATTTTCAAGACAACCCGACAGTGATTCACATCATTGACAACATTTTGCACTATCAGTCATCTGAGACAAAATCCAAACAAATCACTATACAGCAATGTTATAGAAAAATAGGCAGAAGTCCAATGTTGTTCATACAGAATATGCATGAATTATTTATACTATACATCTTACTATAATTACCACTTGCTAACTCATGAATCTTGGAAAAATGCCTGGCCTCAAAATGGCTGTTAAGACAAATTACAGAAGTGAGTGTACATCAATGGTGTTCTCCCATCAGATCACCTGGTGTTCTACCACCAGATCACCACTGCCTGGCGGTGAAAATAAAATCGGAGTACCATATTTTCTTGCATGTGCATGCACCTCTTTCCAAAAAATTTGGATGCATATATTGAACAGGGAAGATGATATTCTGACTAGGATACTAGCTCCCTGGTTTTACTCCTGCTCCACAGTGCAGCCGCTGTGGTATTACTATTCAGGCAGCTGAGAGAATCAGTTGACATAATGATTCATTGTTCTTCAATTGAGGTGTTAATGATTGTTGCTCCTTTGATGTTCCACTTATAAAGCTAACCTTTCTTAAGGCAATTTTGCTATCTACTAGCTGTTCCTGGTTTCTCTTCTATTTCACAGCCCTGGAAACCCTTTACCTCTTTTCAAAATCATAGATCCACCTATAGGGCCCAGTCTTTAGTATCAGCAAGGGTTTTAGCTTTAGTTAAGCAGGAAAGGGAGGGTGAATAAGCAAAAGATGAGGCTCTGTCCCTCTCTGTGAAGCCAAAATGCTAGAAAAAATCTTTTTTTCTTCATTCTGCCTTTCAAAAATAAGGTGTATAATATATTCTGGGATATGTAATATGCAAGAAAATATGTTAAGCTAAATGTGCCTTCAAGGCTTTTCTGTATCACATTCACAGTTGTTAACATTATGGCTTCACCAAGAATAATCCATACAGGAGCAAACTGCCAGTAAGTCAAACTTGACAGTATAAATGGGCATGTTTGAAATAAATACTTAGCAAGCGGCAAGAACTCACTAAAAAGCTGAAGAAGATAGCTGAAAGGTAATTTCAAAGATTCCCATAATTAGGCTCAATTCTGAATTGGCTCCTACAGCTTGAAGAGAAAAGAGTCTTTAGAAGCAAACAGTTCCCGAACCACCCAACCGTAACACATACATTTGCAACCACTGCCATAGATCATACAAATCTCGGATTGGACTATTCAGTCACATGAAACATTGCAAACCATCTGCATCATGGGCTGCAGTTTCCACCATCTCTTGTAGATGAAAGGATGCCATACCTGCTACCAACAGACAAGTCATTGCAATTAAGTTCATGGAATTAATCAGGAGCAAGGTATGACTCTTTGGGTGCATCTACACATGCCAATTTAAGGCACATTAGCCATTCTTAAAGTTCATTAAAGGCACAGGTCTACATGTGCACTCCCTTAATAGGACTTAAAATGGTGATTTTATATTATTTACAGCTAAATATGATACCTGCAAAACCAGGTATCATATTTATGTGTGCAAAGCTAAATAACCTTAACACAAGTGTAGATACTCTAAAGTGCATTAATTCACGTATGTTGACTGACTTGAGACCAACTTTAGTCCCAAGTCGGTCTGTACACCATGTTAATGTGCCTTAGCTCATGCACATGTAGAAGTGTGCCTAAATCACCTTAATGTGCATTAGGGAAATATGTATTAAGTTTAGGCATGCATAAAAGTATGTGTAGACACGCCGTTTAAGAGTCAGGGGAGCAGACCAGGCCATTCATGAGAAAATGTGTGGTCAAAGATGATGCATGGTAATTATCATAATTAAATAATGCCTATATCTACAGATGCACATATCTGTATAATGTATAAAAGTATGCAATTATAGATGTTTTGCCTTGTTTTGCAGTTGTTCCACATGCATAATGTCAACTCATTGTGAATTTCATATGTGGAGAGTGTGCGGGCCAGGTGCGCCCCGAGCCCTTTTTCGCGCTGCACGCAGGCTGTGGCCAGCAGCCCGGGCACGCGGGGGTGGAGAGGGGTGGCTTTCGCTCTGGAATTAGGCACGGACGCGCTCTAGCCCAATCCGGCTGAAGGCTCTGAACACGCGAGCCCGTCGCGTCAGCTGAAGAAAGTACTCGTCCGGAAGAGCTCTGAACCAACTCACACGAAGTTTGCTAGGCTCCGTGGGTCCAGTTATTTTGCGCGCAGGTGGGGTACGTCTAGGAATTCTATCGGCGACAGGGAGAGGCTAAAGATTGATCAGATCTCCGTAGCCTGCTTCAAATGCACTGGGTCCGTGAGGATCCGCAGCGCTTAGAGATCTTCACACAGCGTGAAGTCTCCTCCTCCCTTGTTCGTGGAGTCCTCCAACTGGGGCGGAAACCACTCAAGCCTCTTATACGGCTAGCAAGCCAATCACTAGCCACCACGTGTGAATAATTTAGAACTGGCCAATAATGGGACCCAAATCTACATACAAATGGCGGGAACTCTTTGCAACGAGCATTTCTGTGCTGCAACAAAGAAATGCACCCTGCAAAGAAAGCTTCAAATCGGCGGGAAATTCTCCCTTGCACCGAGATTCTCTTTTGCAGCAGAAAACTCCACCGTTCAAGGAAGCTTGCAATTTAGCGGGGACAATTTAGCAGTGCCGAAGCACACACAAATAAAAATCACACCTTTTGGGTTGTGACAGAGAGTAGAGCTACAGTGTTTTACCATAATTAAAGCTATGGTAATGAACGTAACCAGAAAAACGAAGTCATATGACCCACTATGGGCTTCGTATTACTAAATATATATAATCAGAGCTCATTCGATGTACTGCTTTACTCAACAAAAAACAGGTGTTTGGAAGCTAGTCAACAATGATTAATGGTACAAAAATGAATTGAAAAGTGCTGTTTGCTTCTATAGTTAATGTTTGTCCTTTATGTCACTCAAAGCCATATATTTACAGAATTGTTTTGAGGCTGTTGAATTATTCTCAGAGCTAAAACATGAAATTCAGGGTGCCAGCTAAGTGTATGTTGTTTTTAAAACAATCATGACTAATATTTAAGGGCATTTTTACACATGCAATTTCTGCAGCGCTGAGTGCTTTGAAAAGCTCCTGAGCTGCAATGCTCACACTTGTATAAATGGTGAAATGCGCATCAGTGCTGAGAAAATGGCAGCAGCACACTTTTGAACTAAAACACATAGAAGATGCTTTAGTTCAAAAGTGCACCACCATTTTCTGCACGCTGATACGCATTTCACTGCTTATACACCTGCATGCGATACACGCACAGTAGCACAATGCACGTCAGCTCACGTGCAGAGCAGACTTGATTGAGTCTGCTCCAAAGCAGCAGATCTCCGGCACGTCGCAGGATGAAGAAGTATGTGTATAAATGCCCAAAATTACAGTAAAGATTGCAGATTATCAATAACGAACTATAGTCTGTCTAATCTCAGACATGCTGCTGCTTCCCCTGTCCGCCACCTATCAACAGCCCACAATAACCTTTTTGCAAAGCAGATGGAGAGCCCAGTTGTACTGCATGCATGGCATGTGGAGTTTTCCAAATTTCTCATGAAGTATAAGGTTGGCAATTCTGCAGTTTTTAGAGCTTTCTCTTTACTTAAGGAGGTGGGTAAATTTCACTATATCTGTATAAACAATGGTAATTCTAAGCTATAAAGTTTGAGATTTTTTTTGTATGTCTAGATTTTAACATTTTTTCTGTTCTTTGTTTTTTATCTCAAGTTCATCACAAGACTTTAACCAAAACATTTGAAACTACTTTTTTATTAAAACCAGGTCACGTTTCTACCTTCATGTTAATCTGTTGCATGATTCTGTCTGTCAACGAAATGCAGAGAAAATGGGATTTAATGTTATATCATTAGAAAAACATTTCAGTAGGTGGTATAATGAGAATATCACAGGCAATTCCATGAGATGAGAATCTGTTTTAAAGCAGTCTGGGAAACTTCAGAAACATAAAATATTGATGAAACTGAAAAGTTCCCCGCTCCCTGCTTTTTCTGATTTGCCTATTCTATACACATATTGCACTGCAGTTAGTAAAGAGACATAAGTATTCTGTGTCTGCTTTACATTTTTAAAAGGTAATAACCATAAGAATGAAATATAATCCTCAGGGCACTGAAAAATATTTTGAAATCTGATTAATTAGAACTTCCATTTATGCTACTCTGTGTATTTTGGGATGGGGCCACAGGTTGGCACAGGACACCATGGGCAGGGCAGCAGGCGGGGGCTGGGGCTAGGATCACAGAGCAATGACACCACTGGGCTAGGGCCTGGGGCAGAGCCACAATCTGCTCCCTCCATGGCCCCACCCATGGAACCAGCACCCTATGATCCCAATCCCAGCCCCAGCCCTGCCCACCTGTCTTGCTCCCAGATGCCACTACCCACCCACCTATGGCCCCATCCTCCCAGCCAAGTGCACTATGGATCCAAAGAGACCCTGCCCACCTGCTCCATCTGGCCCCCGGTGATGAGTGTGGGGTGGATGGGACAGGGTGCCTGCGCAGTGGGGCCAGGTCCAGAAGCAGTGGCAGAGACTGGTAGTTGCAGCTGGAAGGAGCCGTCACTGCTGGGGCTCCTGGGAAGTGAGTCCAGCCACCATGCTGCCCCAGCCTGGCTGCGCACCCTTGGGTAGTGGGACTGGCTATATGCACCAAGGCCCGGGCTGCCCCCTACACATGGGCTGAGCAGAGCCAAGGCACCTGCCACAGACTGGATAAAATCCCTTGGCAAGCTGGATCTGGCCTGCAGGCTGTATTTTGCCCGTGCCCATTGTAATTGCACAAGAACTGAAAGAAGAAATCAAGGAAAGGGTGTTACTCCTGAAACTGCTTTTAGCACTTTTTTAGCACTTGTTACTAGATTTCAGTATTATA